AAAAAATTCTATTGAAAATCAATTTTTATCAATGGTATGCATACATATGTATGTATGTATTTATCTACAACCTTACTATCCATAACCTTTTGTCATTTTATATGTGTGTACATCGGTGTAGAACTTTTGTGCTTTATTGGCAAAAAACTTGGACAAGTGATTTTCAGCGGCTCTTCGGTCAGTAAATTTTTATACCACCAAGAGTGTTTTGCAGCTACTAAATCAAATAAAGGTTAGACGCTGCAAGGTCCGGGCTCCCCAACCGAGTTTCATCAATTTTTTCCGAGTCATTAAAGATGTACGTGGTCTGACAGTGTCATGATGGAACACAGCTCCTACTATTCTGTTGGCCGTTTGTTCAAACTGTCGAGTTTAGTGTTTCTCCCCTGACAACTCGCATGTTTTGACATCAAAATTTACGCGAGGCAATCGGAAAAACTCTACGCGATCCGGCGTTCACGCTGCTTTTCGTATTTCAAACGCACGTCAGTTTGGACGGAATTGGGTTAGCGTTGCCAGATGTATAGGCATCAACACCACATAGTGACAAAAATTTACAGAGACTCTTCATACGATCCAGTATAGGGCTTTTCTTGGAAGACAAATCTAAGAGATCTGTATCAATGAGTCAAGCCAACTAGTCAGTAGTCTAAATGTCTTTCTGGCCGTGAAATAATCCGGAAATTAAATAAATCCGCAAATTCTTACATCAACGCTCCAACGATTGCGTATCAAAAGCAATGGATTTGCTTCAAGAAAATATTGTATCTATTGGATATTTTTTGGAACGGATTTCCGAAACCAGTTTGTTTCCAACTCGAAATATTTCCTCGTCATACTGGCCTATCATCGGTATTCAAATTTCATCAAACGCCTATCTACTATCCAAATACATATATATAATCATTTCTGGTCCTATTTTAGCATGCAATTATTTTGATTTTATTTTTCAAATGTAAAGCCTTTTGCCGTAAAAAATGTATTCAAAGTATAAAAGCTGTGACAGACGGCAAAGCTTATGCATATAATCTGGCATACATATGCGCATAATAATTTTGACCTCACAGACGGCAGTTATGCGGATAAACGAGCCGCAAGGTCGTGGGTTCGAGTCCCACGGCCAATTAAATTTTAATTTTTTTTTATTTTTTTTCATTCTTTTTTTTATAAGTTCTATATTTTTTTACGTTGCTTTCAGTTAGTTGTTGTTGACTTTTTATTAAAATTCAACTCTAAAAATTTAAATTAACTGATAGTAAAATAAAAAAAGTGATATAAAATAAAGCAAATGAAAACAAAATAAAGTAACATTAAATATATAGATCAAATAAAATAAAAAAAATATAAAATAAATAAAAACAAAAAAAATTTTCGCAATCGCTCCAACCGAGGATCGAACCTGGCAGCTACAGGCTTGTATCCCGTAACACTTAACACTCGGTTACTGCGGACGCGGAACACGCGCGCTTTGTTTGCTTACTTGTAGAAAAGACAACAGCTGACCAGTGTTGTCAACGAAAACTGCCCGGATCCGAGTTAATTCCCAAAAATTTCGTGCATTTGTTCAGCTTCTTATGCGCATATTAAAGAGGAAAATGCATGAGTCAAAGCAAATAAAGGCTGGTTGTGCAAATAATCGAGCCCGTTTGTCTACCGTATAAGATCACATATGAAAATAAAACAAAGAAAGCAATCCGTGATGTAACCATAAATGCCATATTCATATTAACAATAAACATATGAGTTAGTACATACATACTTATGTATGTAATTATGTCATAAATAATGCATACATATACTGCGCATAAAATCGCGGCGCGTGACATTGACATAGCCGTAGTTAGTCAAAAGATTTATTGTATCTTAATTATTATTTAGGCTCTTGAAGTAGTATATTTTCTTAGTGTATGGATGTAGCTCTCTTCACCTTAACAAAAATATCTTGTAAAAGCGTTAGAACACTCAGAGAGGTAGAAAAAAATCTTCAACGTTATTCATGACAGATAGTTATCAAGCTTTCTAAGTGAGTCATTTCAGCAAACAAGCTTGTTAAAAGTTGCTATCTAAATCAATAATCTGCAGATGTTATCACCAAAACAAACCTCGCACAATGTTAGGCATAACGGTATGCTGCTCTAGCCGACATGGATAAATAAATATACGTATACATATGTACATATGTATTTGGCATATTTCTACTTATTTATTATACATATGTATATGTATGTACATATTTATTCTACATGAATATTCCTTCACATAGCTTTCTCCGTTAAGTTGGGCTACGCTTTAGCGGGTCGCATTAGAAGTCTATAAATAAAATTTGTCTGTGATTCGATTACGGCGTTCAATATTAAATTACCCTGCCGGCAGGATTCCCTTCCCAGGTTACATTTTCTATGATGCCTTGGCTAATACTTCACAGTTTTTATTTAATGTCTTAAGTTTGGACATGTTTTCTTTTTTAAATAACTAAATAAATAGTATGTACGTACGTATGTACGTTCGTAGTTGGAAATATGCCTGTGACATATTTATACTAACTTATTAATGCTTTGCACAGTGTTTAGCGACGAATTAAAAATTCACGAAATATTGAAAACTTACAGCTTAGAAGATAGGAACACGCTTTTTTTAGAGAGAGATAATGCTCTTCCTCCTCAAAAATATTTTCAAAATAACTCGTTGAGTTATATCTAGTAAAAGTCAAAATTCGTTTTTTCGGTTAAAAAAATCCATCTTAAAAATATTTTAAAATTTTTAAATTTTCGGAGATGTCTTGATTTGGTACGTTCCATTGTGCGATTTTATTGTGCGTGTGAATGTTTCAACGCATATCCAGACAAGGCAACATAAATGTCAACAGCGCTTGTTTGTTTGATGTCATAAGCTGAGGCAGCTAATTTAAATAATGATTTTACAAATCTGATACAATTCACTTAGACAATGCTTACGTTGTTGTTGAGGGGATTCCGAATATACATATATTACTACACATACATACTTATAAAATTTGTTTGTTATTTTTTTATAAAAATATGGCTCATGCTTTAACCACAACCATATATGTACATAACTCACACATTCAAACTTTATACAGAACTTCGAAAATTTTCCCAAATTTGTATCTAAATTTCGAGCCTTTTAACCAGAATTTTTATAAAAAAATTTTATATGCAATTAACAGGCTTATAAAATTTTAGTAAAATAAGTGAAATTTTCAGCAGCTTAAAAATTGCTTTGATTTTTAATAATTTTTTTTAAGCTGACGGCTTTTGCGGTTATTTTTCATATAAAGAACGAAATGTAGAAAAACTGGCGTTGACATTTTTTTTTTCCGCAAACGGTCTTGCGCTTATTCTTCCACAAGAAATTTATATTTATATGGAAAAAAGTGCAAAACGCCGTCCACAAAAAAAAAATTATTAAAAATCAAAAAAATTTTTTTTAATCCGGTTAAAAGCTCGAAATTTAGATACAATTTTGTGGAATTTTTTTATATTATATATAAAGTTTGAAAGTGTGATTTATATAGCTTTTAATAAAGCATGCACAATATTTTTATTAAAAAATAATAAAACAATTTAGCTTGAAAAACATTGTAAATATTAAAAACAAAACTCAATTCATCCACTTTTTATCGCCAGTGTATGTATGTAGGTAAATAAGCATTATTTGGTCTCAATAAAACAAACAATCCCAAAAATTAACCCACTGAAAAAAATAGTTCTTAAGCTATTATACGTACATACGTTGACCGAGCTTTGCTCTGAGTGCATATATATTTTAAAGTTTTCAAGGTTTGGGTATCAAATACTGGTCATTTGGATAGCTTAAAATAATATTTTGGAAATAAATTTAAAAAAAAATGGATTTTGATGTGTATAAAGTAAGTAATTTTCTTACTTTAAAATTTAGGTTGTAACCCTATTTAGAAATACGCTGCAATGAGTAGTGCGTATCTTGAGCGTATACGTCCTATATATACATACAAAAAAATGCTGAATGAAATAAACAAAATAAAAAATATGTATTACATAGAAGCGCGACAACCCTGATCAAAATGTGTTTCGGACCAAAGTTTCCTTTCATAATACCTTTCATTTGAAATCCATATATCGAGACATTTAAAAATCTTAATTGCCCTCGATCAACATAGCGTTACTGCGTTTCTAGCTGTCAAAACCTGAAGTCTGTCAAAGCAGTCTTTAACATGCTTGGCGTTTATCGTCCTGTTATCGAGAGCCCAAATGGCTGTTGGTTTATCTCAAAAGATATTTAAAATCCCGCGCTTTAAATCCTTTTGATCATTTAATCGGGCGCAGTCGAAGATTACCAATACTTCATCCATCTGTCCATTGGAATTGCCAGTTTGGAACTAGTGTTATAAATACCTCAAGGTGTTTCCTTTTTGATTATTGTTGTTTTCGATAGGGTGAGTGTATAATTTATTTGATAAGGGATGAAGGAAACTTGTTTCAAAATAGATCGCCTGTACCTGCCTTATCCTCCATCCAAGAGCCGTCTGTGCTCCAATGAGCGTATCTAAAGTCAAGAACAGGGAGTCCCTTTTGTCAAATATTCGGATTTTCACTGGGAAGAGGAGTACAAATTCGCATTGGTCCTGTGGCCGAAAGACGTGTCACTTTTGAGGCACTTGTTGGCACACTAGTTGTCAGATTTTTGTGTCAAGATAAGCTGAATATTTTTCTACTTAAAATTTCTAACGCAGAGGCGGCCTTCTTTCTTTCTCTCACAAGAGCAGCGAGCAAAGACTTGTTAAGCCCTTAAAAATAAGCTATAATCTATGGTTTCTGATTAGAGAATTTTTATGCTTTCTAAAAAATTCGTTTACTATTTTTTCATGTTCTAAAAGATAACTGCGTTTTTGTAATTCTCCAATTAAATGCACTAATTTTCTATTATTCCCACAATTGCCTACCATTTCATGTACAATTCAACTCCGTCATTCCACAACCAAAACCATTTGGCACTTCCAGTTCAGAGGAAGAACGCAATATGGACGATAAATTGATGTGCGATGAAGTGCATTTGCGTACATTAAGCCAGTCGCCGCTGGCGCTGCAACGCCAACAACAACGCAGACTAAGCAACCACAGCACGCGCAGTACAGCAACAAAAACCCTAACACCAATACTGCGACGGCGCTGTTCAGGCGGAAATGCTGTAACTAACAGTAATGAATGCGAGCAACCACGCCCCCCGCTGGCGCAACACGAGATACTCGACGACGATGAACCCAAATGTCAGCGGGTGCGTGTGGACAAACCCACAAACATGTCGCTGAACCTCGATGTGACCGATAATGGCGATAGCGGCGTGGGTGGCGACGATGAAACTGAAGCAGATGCCGATGCCGATGCCGATGCCGATGCAGATGCAGATTGTGGTCTCACTAATCCGGCGGCACAAATTGCGGACGACAACGATGAAGCTGTGAAGGCTGATGTGAGCGATGAGGATGTTATTGACAGCAGCATATTGCGTGTGAAGGTAAGCAGATAGGAGTTGCGTATGAATTGATTAGCATAGGTGAATGTGAGACAACAAAACGCTCATTAACTTGGTGCGTAACTTACGTTTTCATTTTCGTTCTCTATGCTTTTATATAGCAATTTCCCGATATGTCAAAAATTCCACGACTTCCTGGCGATGGCGCACAAATGGATGATCAGCAGCCAGCCACTAACACCACAGCAATAGCATCGAATTTGCGACGACCCGCAGC